CAGAGAATGTTATTGTGGTCCTATGAAAAAGAAAAAAAATGGTGCGAGGGGTAAATTCAGCTAAGGTATGCAGTCGTGTCTTGGTGCTGCGTGTAGATGTTGATATGGTGAGCGTATGTTGGAAACGGGCCTAGCGTTGAATTCCGGATGTTGGAATTGGACTTTAAGGCTTATTTGCTTGAATAAAAGGAAATATCTTCAGAATTGATCGAGCTAATGTGCTCAACTGAGTAATGGTTGCATAGGAAGGTGCATGAGGTGTTAAACAATGATTTCAGACTACTTCAGTGTAGTTCTCAGCACGTTCGAGGACGAACGTATGTTTAAGCGGGAGAGAATGTAACGACCCGACCGGTCGTTTTGGGCCCTAGCGTGTCGTTCAGCAGTCTGAGGCCATGAGCAGCTTCATTTCAGGTATTATGACTTGTACGTGTGGTTGGAATTGAATTTCGGGAAGTTCAGAGTTGATTTGGAGAGAGAATTCTCATTTCGGAAGCTTAAAGATGAAGGAATTAACCAAGATTTGGATTTTTGAGTAAACAACCTTGGAATCGAGATCCAAAGGTCCCATCAGGTTCGTATGATAATTTCGGACTTGGGCGTATGCTCGGATCGGGTTTTGGAAGACCCGGGAACGTTTCAGCACCTATTGTGGAAGTTAGTATTTTTGGAAGAAGTTCATAAGTTTGGGTTGAAGTGCATTTTAGTGTTATCGATGCCCGTCTGGGATTCCGAGTCTGTGAATAGCTCCGTATGACGATTATGATGTTGGGAGCGCGACCGGAAGTGAATTCAGAGGTCCGTGGGTCATTTTGGAGTCATTTGGCAAAAGATAGAAATTTGGAGGTTTCTGGGAAGTTTGACCGAGGGTTAACTTTTCGATATCGGGGTCGGATTCCGATTCCTGAAGTGGGAGTAGGTCCGTAATGACGAATATGACTTGTCTGCAAAATTTGAGGTCAATCAGACTTGATTTGATAGGTTTAAACATTGAAAGTAGAAGTTTGAAATTCTAAAGTTCATAAAGGTTGGATTGGAGGTCGATTCGTGGTTTTAGCGTTTTTTGATATGATTTGAGGCCTCGAGCAAGTTCGTAATGTGTTTTGGGACTGGTTGGTATGATTGGTTGGGGTCCTGAGGGCCTCGGGTGGATTCCGGGTGGTTAACAGATCGAAAATGAGATTTTTGGAAGGGCTCATCTTGCTGGTTGCTGTCATAACCGCACCTGCGAGAAAGGGGCCGCAGGTGCGGAGTCGCAGAAGCGGCTAGGAGGCCGCAGGTGCGGATTTTGGTCTAGAGCAAAGGGACCGCAGATGCGGTCAGGGTGCCGCAGAAGCGGGACCGCATCTGCGGAAGAAGGAGCCGCAAATGCGGTTTGGGCTAGAAGAGAAGGGACCGCAGATGTGGTCATATTTCCGCAGATGCGGGACCACACCTGCGGTGGAGAAGTCGCAGAAGCGGAAGAGGGGCAGCCTGGTGAGGACCACAGATGCGTTATTGGAACCGCACCTGCGGAACCGCAGAAGCGGTCTGGAAGTCGCAGGTGCGGAAAGAGCTAGAGGCAGAATGTTGTTTTAAAGTCGGGTTTTGGCCATTTCCTATTATATTTTCTTGGCTTGGGGGCGGTTCTTGGAGGGTTCAAGAGAGGATTTTCATCATCAACGATAAGGTAAGCTAATTCCACCTCTTTTGAGTTAAATACATCAATTATGTATGGATTTGAGCATGAAATTTGTAGAAAAATTGAGGGTTTGAGGGAAAACCTAGAAAATTAGTGTTCTTGGATTTTGACCACGATTTTGGGTATGAAGTTTAGAGAAAATTATATATTTGAATTCGTGAAGCTATGGGTAAACTTACTCTTCGAAAATTTTGGAAATCCGGGCACGTGGGCCCGAGGGCAATTTTGTCAACTTTTCGTTCGGGGTTAGGAATTGTTATAAAATGGACTATATTGAGTAATTGAGCATATATTAATGGGTTAATATAATTATTGGCTAGTTTTGGAGCATTTTTTGCATCGATTTGAGTTTCGGAAGGGCGTGGAAGGCCGGTTATGGATCTTCGGAGCGAGGTGAGTCTCCTTTCTAACCTTGTAAGAGGGAATTGTCCCCATAGGTGAGTTAATTGGTTATGTGCTCCTATTTGTGGGGGCTACGTCCGCATGAGGTGACGAGAGTCCGTGCGTAGCTGCTATTATGTTATTGTCCGGGTAGTCTAGGGCCCAAAAGCATGATGTACTTGGAATAATTGTAATGTTGGTTACAGTTGAATTGCTTAAATCATGTCGAATTGGTAAATGAATTTCTAAAATGATTAAACTTCATTTTCTTAAATTGTTAAAAGAGAAAGTGACTTTTATTTGAATAAATATTCCCCGATAAATTCTTAATTGGCTATCTGAGCATGTATTTCTATGTGTACCTGCGTCGCATGTATGGTTCGCGAGCAGGGTGATTGTTTATTTTATGTTGACCGCGTCGCATGGATAGTTCGCGAGCGGGGTAATAGATGCATCTATGGTTCGCGTCGTTCGACCCTCGGCAGTGCACAATTTATTTTCTGTTGGAGCGGGCCGTACGTACCACGGTGTTATTTGCATGCTTGTATTGCTGCCTTGAACTTATTAAAGTTGATATTGCCTCTTCATGGCTTGAGAATATTTGGATAAATAATGAAAAGGATTTTTTTGGAAATTTCCTATAAAGAAAATAATTGTTCACTTGTTTCCTTCTATTGGATTAAAATCATGCTTATAGAAATCCGCGATTTAATGTTTTATTGACATCACATTATTGGACCCTTAGTAAGTGTCGAAGTTGCCATCTCGTCTCTACTTCTTCGAGATTAGGCGGGATACTTACTGAGTACACGTTGTTTATGTACTCATACTACACTTCTGTGCATTTTTGTTGCACAGGCACTTGTACTACTAGTGAGCTACTGGGCGTAGCAGCACGGATGATACTGGGACTAGGTGAGTTACATTACTCGAGGCGGCCCGCAGCTAGTATAGTCCCTTCCAGTATATTGTATTTACTTTCTGTCCATTTGTATTCCGGACGGATGTGGTATTGTATTGTCTCTTAGAAATAGCTCATGCACTTGTGACACCATGTTCTGGGGATGTCTATGGGTTTATTCAGAAATGTAATTTTTTTAAAATTGTTTTCATCATTTACTCAGTGGAATTCATCACACATTGTTTAAACGCCTAAAAGAAGCGATTTCAGAAAATATTTAAACGAGAAGTTACTAGTTATTTGTTGTTGGCTTGCCTGACAGTGGAGTCCGGCGCCATCACGACCCTTAGTGGATTTTGGGTCGTGATACTTCAAGTACGAGTCCCAATCCAGACCCCGGCGCATTAGATGCGCTGGCGGTGTGAAGGACCCAGATGTCGGGTCGTCCAGGGGAGGTGTGGAGCGCTTCTTGCTCGACCTCGGACAGTATTCCTGTACTAAAGTCGGCGACCAAATCGGCGAGTACTTGGGACTTTATCGCAGTTCGCGGTTGATATGTTATATCGTGCTCGCTCAATTCTATGGCCCATTTGGCCAATCTACCCGATAGTTCGGGTTTGTACAGGAGCTCCTGAGGGGAAAAGTCGTCACTACCTTTATGGGGTGACATTGAAAATATGGTCTAAGCTTCCGTGAAGCTATGACCAATGCCAGAGCCAATTATTCGAGGTGGGGATTTCTCTTTTCGGCGTCAATTAAGGTTTTGCTGATATAGTAAATCGTAGATTGCATACCTTTGTTTTCGTGGACCAAAATTACGCTTACCGCGACTTCGGAGACGGCTAGTAGACAAGGAGGCATTCGCCTGGATCTTCCTTGGTGAGGAGTGGCGGCGAGGACAAGTATGTTTTTAGTTTTCTTAGGGCATCGACACATTCTGAATTCCACTGGAGCCCGTTGCCTTTCTTTAGCACATTAAAAAATTTATGCCACCTATCTGATGACCGTGAGATGAACCTTGACAGGGGTGGCTATCCGACCCATCAATTTTTGTACCTGCTTTTTGTTGGTTAACGTTGCGGGTATTCCTTCGATGGCCTTAATCTGATCTGGATTGACCTCGATGCCTCGTTGTGACACCGGGAAACCGAGAAATTGGCCCGAGGTTACGCCGAAGGCGCATTTTTCGGGGTTTAGTTTCATGTCGTACTGTCTCAGTATGTCGAATGCTTCCTTCAGGTGATTGATGTGGTCTTCTTTCCTTTTCGATTTAACTAGCATATCATCGATGTAGACTTCCATTATTTTGCCGAGTTGATCTTTGAACATCTTGGTGACTAACCTTTGGTATGTTGCTCCCGCATTGTTTAGTCCGAACGGCATGACTCTGTAGCAGTACGTTCCCTGGTGAGTGATGAAAGTAGTTTTCTCTTGGTCCTCTTCCTCCATGAGGATCTAGTTGTAACCCGAGTAGGCATCTAAGAAGCTTAGCAACTCGTGTCCCGCTGTTGCATCGATGAGCTGGTCGATGTGTGGCAATGAAAAGGAGTCTTTTGGGCATGTCTTGTTTAGGTCCGTGAAATCAACACACATCCGCCACTTTCCGTTTTTCTTCTTTACCATGACCACATTGGCAACCCGCTGGGGATACTTTTACTCTCAGACGGAGCCATTGGCGAGCAGCTTATCGACTTCTTCGCTGACGGCTTCGTTGATTGCGGAGTTGAATTTTCTCCTCATTTGCCGCACCGGTGGATAGAGGGGGTCAACATTCAATTTGTGTGTAGCAATGTCTTTCGGGGTGCCCGGCATATCTGAATGGGAGAAGGCAAACAAATCGGCATTGTCAGTTAAGAATTTATGAAACTTACCTGGTTCTGAGAGATTGTGCCCGATATAAGCCTTTTTTGTGCTATCGTTGTCGTCTAGTTGGATGGGATCGAGATCTTCTATAATCGACACGGAGGCTTTCACGATGTCGGGATCCTTGATAACGTATGTCTGTACGTCGAGTTTGGTTCCCGACATCGCTAGTTGCTATGATTCCGCGCTCGCTCCTTTTAGTTGTTGGGTGTGTGCGCAGTCCTGGGAGATGCGGTAGCATTCTTGTGCGGTGCGTTGTTCGCCCTGGATGCTGAATACCCCCCATGGAGTAGGGAACTTGATTACTTGATAGAGACTTGATGGGACTGCTCGCATGGCGTGTATCCACGGGCGGCCTATGATAGCGTTGTAGGTTGTGTCTTGGTCCATGACGTGAAACATTGTTTCGAGGGTGACTCCTCCGGCTAGAACGGGTAGCACTATATCTCCAGAAGTTCGCTCGACTGCATTATTAAAACCTGTTAGTGTTATGCAACGTGATATTATTTTATCTTCGAGTCTCATCTGTACGAGGACTCGAGGATGGATAATACACGCGCCACTTCCATCGTCCACCATTATTCTTTTTACATCAGTATCTGCAATACGTAAAGTGATAACAAAAGCATCGTAGCGAGGGAAATACAAACTGTCGTTATCTGATTTATCGAAGATGATACTATCTTCGAGGTCATCATACCGTTCATGAGTGATCCACCGTTTGAGTTTGTATGTAGTGGTGAACTTTACATGGTTGATTGTTGTGTCATCACCTCCACCGATGATCATCTGTATGGTACGAGCAGGAGAGAGCAGTTTTAGAGGTCACTGTGGTTGTTCGCGTCCGCGGGCAAAGTTAGCTCGTCCTCGGTCGCTCAACAGTTCTCTCAGGTGTCCCTGATTTAGCACTCTCACTACCTCCTGCCGCAGACCTATGCAATCCTCGACTTTATGACCCCTTTCCTGGTGGAACTCGCAAAGAACGTTCAACTTCCGGGTGCTTGGGTCGGACTTCGTCTTTTGCAGCCATTGTACCTTTGGACCGAGCTTTTCTAGTGCGTACACTATTTCTGAAGGGGAAACACAAAAATTGTGAGTAGATAAGAGCGTAGGCAAACCTTTTTCGTTTCGGTGGCGCGGTATGTCGAGGCGGGACATCTGTGTGCCGCGGAGGAGGTGGGATGGATGTCTTGATGTAGGGCTGATGTCTTTCTCGGCCGAGACGGGGACCTAACCGATCCCTTCGACCGTCGTTGCGACGATCTTTCCTTGCTTTGGCTTGAACTGACGTCAGTCGTTGGATCGGGCCATTGAGGTCGTCCTCGCAGCCCTTACCTCGGCGCAATAGGCGTTGTGGATTTCTTCCCAAGTGGTGGGAGGGTATTTCATTAGCCTGCTTAACAGCTTTCTGGTTGCTCTCGACTCATTCATTTAACCCATTCTGGAAGGCTGCTACCGCCATCCCCTCTGAAACATTTGGAAGGCTCATTTTCACCCTGTTAAACCAGGCTAATAAGTCCCTGAGTCCCTCGCCGTGCGTCTGCCTAACGACGAATATGTCGTTTACCCTGGCTTCCGCCTTTTTAGCTCCTGCATGAGTGGTAACGAACTTGTCCGCCAGTTCTTTGAACGTTGTTATTGACCGTGCTGGTAGTTGTGAGTACCAGGTTAGGGCTTCCCCTGTTAGGGTTTCGCCGAATTTTTTCAGTAGCACCGATGGTACTTGTTCTTTCGAAAGATTGTTGCCTTTTACGGCTGTGATGTAGCGGATGATATGATCTTCTGGGTCTGTAGTACCGTCATATATCTTCAGGTATGGTGGCATTTTGAAGGTTTTCGGAATGGCCTGAGGGGTTGCTTCCTCATTGTATGGTTGCTCGATGAATCGACCAACGTCCCGTTTTGGTAACAACTTTGGGGCGCCTGGTATTTTATTGACCCTTTCTTGATGCTCCTTTATCTGGTCACGGAGTGCCTTATTTTCATTTTCCATTTCCTCCATTTTCTTTAGAATAGTTGCGAGTGCGTCATTACCTGCGTCAACAGTAGTATGAGTGTTACCTTTATGGGGGGCATCTTGTTCGCTAGCGATTGTCGTGACATTTATGTGTGCAATGTCTCTATTCTCCCTTTGAGCGGGTTTATCAAGTATGTTGTTCAGAGTGTTTGTTAGCCATTCTTCCAGTAGTCTTTTCACCGTCGGTGGTGCCTCTCCTGTTGTAGACGCGGAGGCTTCCCTTTCGCGCGAAGCAGTTACGCTTTCGCGTGGGGGAGGTGAAGCGTCTCTCCTAGGTGTAGTGTTTGGTGTCACGTTTTCGTTATCTTCCCTGCCATCTTCGTTGATGGTGTCCAGGATGTTGGCTGTGACACCCGCTATCGCTTTTAACCTTGCATCTCCTTTTCCTGCCATTGTTAGTTTATGCAAAGCTAGGAAGAGATGGCTATCCCTTTTTATGATCTAGATGAAACTAAAATCTTAACTAAAGAAGTCCCCACAGACGGCGCCAAATTGTTTGACCAAAAAAGTATTAAACCTTTTGATTAAATCAATCAATGATGAGAAGAGGAGTGAATCTTAGTTAAGGATGATAAATCTAGATCAAATGATAGATAGAATAGACAAAATGGAAGACGTTGGTTAATATGTTTGAGTCGATTAAATGCTCATAAATGCAGCAACATAAATATGCAATCAATTTAAGTAAATGCGATAGGCGTAATCATACGAAGTTGCTACCCAATTATTGGGATCTTACGGAAAGCTTCTTTCCTCGGTAACAGAGTGGAAAGAGAAGAGATATGAGATGATTGAGGAATCTTTGGACCCTGTTAATGTAAAACAATGATGTATATTTTTTCATATGAATTTGTTACAAAGTGTTCTTTTTTCTCTCTTGCCCGGATCCCCCCCTTTTTTTTACTAACTCTTCCTATTTATAAGGGACAATCCCCCAAGAAACCCTAAAAAGTACAATATAAAAAATATTCGAAAAGCATATTCTTATTGTCTCCTACTAAGTTTAAGTTGTCGTTGACATCTCGTCTCGACTGACCGCTCTTGGTCGTCGTCCTACTCGGTAACTGTCGTGGTTGCCAAATTTGGACCCATAAAATGACAATCCATCTCAATAGCAATAGGGGATCTATGGTACTTCATCTTCAACCACCTCAAGGCTTCACGGACTGTTAAAATTTCAGCCATTACTGCATCATGTTAAGCTTCCAATGGAGTACTAAACCCTCGAATAAAATTTCCATGAGTGTCGCGAATCAATATACCATCTCATGCCATAGTTAACATCATAGGAAGCATCAATGTTGCATTTCAGGGTACCCGGATCAGGGGGAAACCACTTAACAATAAATTCTGGCCCAGGCACGAAATAAATATTATCATCAAACCGCGCCGAACTCCACTCTTTCCGGGAAACACTGGCTCAAAGAATGACAATCTCTGGCTGTATAGTTTTGCCATTACAAATCAAATTGTTGCGGGTATTCCAGATCTCTCATAGAAGCATAATAGCCTCCTGCAAATTTTCACTCGTGACAGCTGGTACTAGCGCCGTGAACCCTTCCGTAAACGAGGTTCCCACTGGCAGAGGCGGATCCAGAATTTTAAATCCTATGGATTTAATTTTAAGGTTTTTAACAGTTTGTTTGGATGGTTGTTACGTATCGTTTCATAATGTATCGTGTTGTATTGTATTGTATTGTACTGTATCGTTTGATGAATACAATGTTTGGATGGATTGTGTCGTTTTGGCGTCGTTTCATGGTATCACGCACTTGTGATATGATGAATAGACTTGCAATATTATAAAGAAAAATTATGATACGGTATATAAAAAGGTAGGGTAAATAATAAAATAAAATTATTTAATAATAATGAAGGGTGAGATTGAGAGAAAAACACAAGGAACGACGCGATCACACCAAATCGGTCGTTACATAAAGTGGCACATTTCATCGTTACGTAACGACGGATTTAACGATACGATACAATAAAATTTAAGTAACAATCAAAACAAACATTGTATTTAAAGAAACAATATGATACGATACAATAGGTAACAACCATCCAAACAAGCTGTAACATTGAACCGCATTATATTTTAAAAGTTATGGGTTCATATCTACTATTTTTGCAATTTTAATGAATTTTTACATACAAATTTTTACTCCGCGTTGAAAGTTATGGGTTCAGCTGAACCCGTAGGTGGTACACTGCATCCGCCTTTGCTTCCAGCATATTATGCTGGAACTCTAACACGCGGAGAGTTCCAATATAATATACTGGAACTCCAGTATATTATACTGGAGTATTTTTCGGATTTGAACAGTACTTTCGTTCAGATTTATCTTCACATAAAAAGTGGCTAAATTTCGATTATTTTTGAAACTGTAGCTACTTTTGAACGATCACTTGTAAATCTGGCTATTTTTAAATTTCTCCCGTTTATATGTGTGTGTATACAATATGCATGTGTGTATATCTTTATATAATGATGATCAAGCTCAAAATTAGAAATGGCTTAGATTAGGATTTTACGTAATTAAAATCCTAAGGAAATCGTTAGTTGCAAAAAGCTAGCAGAAGGGGGCAATTGCATATTCCACCTGACATCCAAAAAAGTGAGATTATATGATTAAGAGTGTCTGATATTGCATATGCCACCGACTAATTAACATAATTGAGCCTTAATTTGGAATCACTCATCGCTTTATAAAACCGGCACAATATAATCAGTATGCACGTGCAAATCGTCCTACTCAAATTACATCTTTTTAATTTTGTGCTATATGATCTTTATTACATCATACAGTTAAATTAACATAAGTAAACTACACACTACAGTGGAAAGGCGGATGTATGACCCAGATTACGAGGCACACGAACTTATGGTCTTTAACCAAACTAAGTATTTTATGTATGTATTTTTTAGTATTTGTCTAATATTTATCTGCTGGCGTCTATACTCCGAAAAGGTTAAATGGTACAGTTGGTTGAATATACACTGAGTTATTTACCTAAAAGAACAGGAATGATCTTCACTTAATATTATTTTGTCTCCTTTTTTTAGTGGTGCACTTATGTTCTAGAAATTTAAAATCCGCCTCTAACGATAATGTTAGGATATACTATAAACCATGTGTATTGTTATAGCATTATTTATGGAACATTTGTTTATTTATTTATTCAATTCAATAAAGTTTTATTTTAAATAGATCATGTATTTGTCTGTGTCCTTTGCTTATATAGTAGATGATTTAGTGTATAGAGTTTAGCTTATACACAGAAGATTAAATCATCGGTTCTAATAAGTCATAAAGTTTATGTTCACATTCAATGATGGAATTGGACAAACCATCGGAATGGTTAGAGCACAAGATTAAATATAATTTATCTTGATTATGGGAATGATTTAATTTCGACTTCTTGTGTTAGTACATTTTGTATGTATTGAACGGATCAAATAGAGACAAGTATTTTATACTGACTTAATAAAATAATTTCTCCAGCCCATTTAATGTACTTATACTCTTAATCTTGATATAATTATTAAAGTTGTGTGTGG